CGGTGACACTCCCAGCCAGGAGTGATGGCGAGCAGGGGGGTTCTCCCAGTGCAGCAGCAATCCCTGGGGGTCGGGCAATGCGAGGCAGCCCCCAGGCAGGGGCAGAAGCTGGGGTCACCTCTCCAGGTGCTGGCAGCCGCTCAACCAGTGTCACTCCGGAGCATGCAACGGGTCTTGCTGCAGGCGGTGGTGGTGCTGGGCCAGCCAGAGCCACGTCATCCCCAGCTCCAGGTGTCCCTGTTGTAATGGGAACAAGCAAACCACCACCAAACAACAGCACCACTCCCGAGCAGGGTGTGGAAGTGTCCGGAGTGGCTCTGGACGGCATCCCTGGAGAGCCAGACCTGGGGACAACTGTCTCCCCACAAGAGGGGACTGAGGCGCCCGTGGGTGGTGCCAGTGCACTGAGAGGTGTCCCTGCAGCACCAGGCAAAGGTGTGTCCCTGCCTGTGGCACACGTCCCAGTGCCAGGGACACAGGCATCTTCCTTGGTCACTAGCAAATCGCCTGATGCCAATCAGTTGATGCAGATAGGTTATGCTGTCACTGCGGAGAGGACACAGGGGACCACAGTGCCATCGCTCCCCAAGGACAAGCCCAGCACAGGGATGTCACTCCTCAGCATCAGCAAGAGCTCTGCTGAGTCACATGCCACTGCCATGCCCCTGTCCCAGGGGGTCACGCCAGGGTTGGACAAGGCCACCTCACCTCTGGCCACAGCAGCCAGCGTCTCCAGGGACTCGGGCAGCCCTGTGAAGCCAACAGCAGCCTCAGCAGGCTTTGCCATCCACCCCCAGGCTACTGCATTAGCTCTGGGCACCCCAGTGATGGAGATGGATGTCTCCACTGCAGAGCGTATCCCCACTGCATCATTCCCAGCTCTGAGAAGCACCAGTGCTGAGCTGGTGTCTGTCAGGAGCGAGCCTAGCACCAGGGCCTCAGCAGGTACCACTTTCCCGGGGAACAAGGCCACCCCAGTGGGGCTCAGCATGGCACTGTCCCCCCATGCAGCTCCCAATGGCCCTGGTGATCCCTCTCTGGGGCCCTTTGCACACTCCATGAGGTCTCTGCTCACCCACCTCCCCTCAGCAGGCCCAGGGCCCACGACAGGCGGATCCACTCCAGCCAGGCCCAGCATGGCCACGTCCTTGTCCCTCACCGATGATGGTGGAGCAAAGACAGACAGGACCCCTCGGGACGCTGCCGCACCATCTTCCCTTGATATGTACAATGTTGGGACTGAGCCAGCTCCCCATCCATCCTCCCTTATTAACAACACTCCAATTAATGAAGCAGGGATGGGAACAGCATCTCTGGTCAGTGGCAATGCCACCACTATGCTGTGGAACACCAGAGCCACCCCAGCTGTGCCTGATGCAACTCCCAGTCACAGCCAGCCCAGTCCCACTGCGGGCTCGGCACCCCCAGGACCTGGTGTCACCCCTGGATCTGCACCACCCAAACTGCTCATGGATGGGTCCCAACGTGGGCCAGCTCCAGTGACAGAGATGTGGTCACCCAGCGCTGCACTGGGCACGGTCACGGCTATGCCAGGCACCCCGGGGGTACCCCGAGCAGTCAATGTCTCCCAAGTCCTGGATGGCAACACCCCCACAGGGATGGCTCTGAGGGCGTCCCCATCCAGCATCCCCCAAGAGACAGCAGCGGGCACGTCTTCACTGTCCCCATCCACCCCACCACCACCAGTGGGTGCTTCAGGTGACCCCCAACTCAATGGCAGCACTGTGGGGACAGCATCCCTGGAGAAGGGCATGGAGGAGATCTCAGGTGCCAGTGCAGTGGGGCCAGCTCCCAGCCATGCGATTGTCACCACTGGGCCATCACCAGAGCCACCTGGGACCAACTACCTCGCCCAAGGGACCGAGGCTCCCGAAACCAGGCCTCCAGCAGTTCTGCCACTCCTGGCTGAAGCCAGAGCCCTTGCCACTGCCACCACCAGCCAGACACACCAGCCTGTGACACCGCCAATCCCCAAAAACACAGATACGGAGGGAGGCGAGGGCAGCTCGCAGACGGCAGGAGATGGCAACACCACGCACACAGCTCCAGGATCAACCCCAGTTGAAAACACAAGACTGGGCACTGCAAAAAGGACCCTCCACAGTGGTGACACGGCTCCACCAGTGTCAGCCCCAGCCACAGGCAGTGTTGCCACTCGGCCAAACCCTGCTGCATCAGACCAGAGCTATCGCACTGCTGGGCCCACCATGGACATGGGAGTGGACATATACATGGGTTCTAACACCATGGGGAATGCAGCTGCAGACCTGTCCCTGGGGCTGCCCACTCCTGTAGCTGGGATGGATGATCCAGGCACTGGTGGTGATGCCCTGGGCACCCAAAGCACCACAGCAGTGATCGTGATGGGCATGGTGACACCCACAGCTCCAGGGCTGGTCACAGCACCTTCCCCTGGCCTCGCTCACAGCACTGCGGAACCAGACGCCAGTGTGTCCCCTCCTGTCCCCGGGAACACCCATTCAGTGGTGGTGGCACCTTCCATCACCCTCAGCTTCACCATCACTGGTCCAGCAGTGGGAGCAGATGCTCCCAGTCTCAACAGGGTCACGCTTCCCTCTGCTGTCCCCAGCAGTGTCCCTGCTCCACCCAGCCCTAGTGTCACCCTAAGACCATCTCCTGAGGCCACTGTTAGCACCCACAACCCAGCCTCGAGGACTTTCAACCCAGCTGCTGAGGACAAGCCCTCAGCCAGGGTCTCCTTGCTGCCTGTTGGCCACACATCCCCATGGGAGACTACAGTTGCATCCCAGTCAGGTACCAGGAGTACCACCACCTGGATGGACACTACTCCCTCAGCAACCACAGATGGCACCAACAGCACCCATGTGCCCGTCTCCAACACCACCGGCACAAGCCAGGCCACCATGCCAGCCACCAGTGTGTTCCCCAGCAACACCATCTCACCAACCACCTCAGCAGGTGGGGAGACCTTCATGCTGACCAGGGCCTCCACAGCCATGCCACCTGCCATGGCAGAAACCACCAGCACCAGCAGTGCCCTGTCCTTTGCTGTGACACATGACGAGACAGGCAGAGGTGGGCACCCTGTCCTCTCCCCAGCAGCCCAGACCCTCTCGGTGGAGACAACCACTGGGTCCTGGGGTGTCCTCAGTTCCAGCCTTGCCTTCACGGTGCCCAGTTCACCCCTCCCCAGCCTGCACAGCTCAACGGAGGAGCCAGCAACAGCCCCCTCGTCCCTGCCTGGTGTTGGTGCAACTGGAGAGCCAGCAACCAGGCAGACCCACCTCAAGCTGGCAACAGGCACCACCGTGGCTGCCAGCAACCATGACATGGCACAGGCAGCGAGCACAGCACCTTCTGGATTTGGGACATCTCTAGAGACACCTCTCTGGGCAGAGAAAACAGCCATTGCTGCAGGGAGCACCACAACCATAGGAAGCACCACAGCCATCACCATGAGGAAGAACATGGCCATAGGGAGCACCACAGCCATTGCTGCAGAGAGCCCCTCAACCATTGCTACAGGCAGCCCCCCAACCACTGCTGCAGGCAGCACCAAGGCCATAGGGAGCACCACAGCCATTGCTGCAGGCAGCACCCCAGCCGTTGCTGCAGGGAGCACCATGGCCATAAGGAGCACCACGGCCATCACTGCTGGGAGCACCTCAACCATTGCTACAGGCAGCACCACAACCATTGCTGCAGGCAGCACCAAGGCCATAGGGAGCACCACAGCCATTGCTTCAGGCAGCACCCCAGCCGGC